TCTGCCATCTAAGGGCATAAATTTTGGTTGTTTGCTTTACCAAGCAATTTTAATCTGGGGGCTTTGCTGTAAGAGGGAAATGAAATTAATTCTAAAGCTAACCTTTCCCTTCGCACAATACGTGGCAACTTTTGTTTATTAAATTCTAAGTTCTCACCTTTCCTTCCAAGAAAGCAGTTCTCGACTTTACTCCTTAAAATTCCAGCATCTCCAAGGTAGGGCTGGGAAAGTCTCCCGGCCTCAATCCCTGGAGAGCCACCAAGGGTCGATGAAAATAAGGCTCAGCTAGATGGACCAATGCTCTGATTCAGTATGAGGCAGGTTTCTACGTTCGTATTGCAAATGGCAAGTGAAGCACCTAAACTGTTCCTCTGCAACATGAAAGAGGCAGGTGCAGCTCGCAATATATCTCTGAAGCAAGCGGAGCTTTTGTTTATTTACAATTTCTTTCCAAACAGGGAAAAGAAACCTGGAATGGGATGCGGGAATAGATCAAGCAAGAGAAAGTGAGGCAGGTGGTTTAAATCATTCTAACTCTCTGTAAAGAATGAAGGCAGCCCTGGAGATGAGAGCAAGAAGATCAGGTGTTTTATATCTGTGTATAAGGTCACAGCAGCACCTGACTGCCTTCCGTCTTGGAAATCGCACCCTGGAGGAATCTCAGGCAATGCTTAACGTTTCAAGCAGTCAAGAATGCAACCACCAACATTTGCTGAATGCAGAGCTGAAAACCTGCATTAGGTTCCACGAGGACCACGACAAGCGGCTTCCTTTTGGTCAGGCACAGAGCTGATTTTTCTTTGCTTTTTTTTTATTCAAAATTATAACAAGACATATAATCCAAAAACATAGCATCCTTGTTTCCCCCCCCCCATTTTTCCTCCCTCCCCCACCCCCCACAAAACCCACCCACCCCCCGACTTCCCTCACTTCCAGTCTTTGGTTTCTCTAAGAATGCTGTTTTCTGCATGTTACAAAGTTGTATAGATCCTCAAACTATTTAGCTGATTATTATCAATAAAAAGTTTGTGAATGTTTATTCAAAACCTGCCAAGGAGTCCAGTTCGCTTTGTTCCGTCTTCAGATACTTTGTAAAGGGTTCCCATTCATCCTTAAAGTCACAGTTATCCTTGTCCCGTAGCTTACATGTCAGTTTTGCCAGTTCTGCATAGTCCATCAATTTTTCTTGCCATGATTCTTTAGCTGGGGTTTCTTCAGAGTTCCATCCTTGTGCTACCAGAACTCTCACGGCCACAGAGCTGATTTTTCTTCTGCTTTTGGTTGTATGCAGGCTAGAGGATTTCAAATAGGAGGAATGCTTTAAAGACCCTCTTTTGGATTAAATTCTTAACCCAGCAATGTATTTTAAGAGCATTTGATGTGTTATATGCCTGATTTTGCAATGTTAGCAATGCAAGTCAAAGAATAATCCTTTAAACACACACACAGAGAGAGAGAGAGAGAGAGAGAGAGAGAGAGAGAGAGAACAGGCAGGTGTGTGTATGAAAAAGCTTGTACATTTTCTTATAGGCTGCAAATCTATATACTCATACCCAGGAGGAAGTTCTATTAAAATCACTGGGATTTACTCGCAAATAAATATGCACAGCATTGCATTACACACACACAAACACCATGATCTGGGCCCAATCTGGCACTTTGGATTGGCCTCCATTTGACCTGGGACTATCCAGGGTTGAGTTACACTTGGTTCATTTGTCTCAAGGTCCTTTTGGATCCAGAGGGGCTTGGTTCTAAAAGTAAGCAGATTACCAGACAGTGAAAGAGGAGCGTACAGTAGTCATGGGACACTTCAATTACCACAATGTCTACTGGAACTCAACCTCTGCACAAATATAAGATGGGGGACACCTGGATTTTCAGCAGAGGAGACTGAGAGGCGCTATGATAGCCATCTTCAAATATCTAAAGCAGACATTGTCCAAGGTGTCAGTCACAATCAACCAGTCGATCCTGGAATGAATTCTGGTTGATCGCCATGCCCCCTCCACTGAAGGCATTCCTGAGCAGCCACCACCTCATCCTGAGCTCAGGGGAGGCAGGCTGTTTTGACGCTGCGTGCACACCCACACCTGCCCGGGCACGCGCCCACCCACCCTGCACCAACCGCTGTCATGGCGGGGGGAAGCAGTCAGTGCCCACCAGTCCACACTGCCCCCATCCCTGCCCTCTCAGGGGAAGCAGCCGGCGGTGTGCACCCACCCACTCACCCTGCACCCTGTCAGGAGCTCATCCTACACTCGAGTAGGACCCTGGCAGAGACACATGCCCGACTGGCATGTTCTCTCCCTCCTGGTCGATCGTTCGGGAGCTTCATAAGCTTTCTTCAGCCCGAACATCACAGTGACCGATGCCAACCGACACCGGCACACTTAGGGATCCGCAGAGTTTGCGCATCATGCACTTAACAGACCTCAGCAACTCAGCATTTTGGCTAATCTACTTTATTTACATATAAACACACGCGGAGCACTGCAACATGGCTCCCTCTCTCTCTAGCATCAGGCAGAAAAAGAACAAAGGACAGTAGTCCCACTTCACGGAACACAGTAACACAAACATCCTGTCTCTGTCACTTCCCACTCTGTGGAGTCAAAACATACACCGTCATGTGATAGACAACAATCCCATGACTGCAATCATGGAGCCGGAATTCTAACACACCCATCCCTGGGTGGTAAATCATTGCTAGTTTTTATATTGGATCATAGATCGCAGCCTACTTCAAGTTGGGCATGCCTGCCGTAAGGGATGGACTTAGCTCAGTTGTATAGCATGTTCTCTGCATGCAGAAGGTCTAGGTTTCACTTCCCAGCATCTCCAGGTAGGGGTGGGAGGATCTTCAATCTGAAAGCCTGAGGAGGCGCTGCCAGTCAACACTGAGCAATTGTCTGGCTCAATATGAATCTGCTTCCTATGTTCCTCGTTCTCTTCTCCATCAACCTCGTCATAGAATCCAGGAGTCTGGGAGATAGAAGCTACGTTCTGTGCATCTTAAGCCCTTGTTTCTCAGTCAAATATGCAGAGGTACAAGCCGCTAGGTATCAGTGATTACATCTAATCTTCCATAATAATGTATTCATATTCCCAAACAAACAAGGCATGGCAAGATCTAATTATGGTGTTTGTTAGCTTAGACTCTGCTTACGCATTCTTCCAGGCTCATAGCTTCTCCCTGCTGTGTACTACTTTCATTAATTTCCCCTTCCTCAGACTTTAAAGCAAATATTAAGCACACCAAAACAGTGAATACCCATAAGACTCCTGATCCTGAAACCTCCAGGAAGACGCTGCAGAAAACAGGAAATCAGGCGTTCATTTAGCAGCTGAAAATTCTTCTTTCTAAGCAAAGCAGCTTAATTTCTTGCTGTGAGGGAACAGGGGAAGCAAGTTTTTCCTCCTTCTGATGATGCAGGACTTTCCACCCTATTTACTGGCAGATAGAACTTAATGAGATTTAATGGTCCAGTCTGGACAATTGTCCAAAGCGTCATAAACTGTGATTTAGGAAGCCAGGAATAAATGTCAGGGCCAAACACTCCTCTTGCAAATTTCCACTTCCCCTCCTACCATCATGCACCAACTGACCCCATCGTCTGTTGCACCAGAAATCCCTGCTATGTCCAAATGGGGGAAACCAGGGGGACTCTGACTTGTAAGTAAGAGAGAGGTCTTTATTGAGGCAGGTAAGGGTACAGGTTCACCAGCAGACACAGTGCTCAGGTGTTATAACACAGAAGTTCAGGAGCCGGGCAAGAAGTTCAGAACTGGGATGAAACAATGAGGATGTCCCAACAGGTTAACTGACACCCAACTTTCCCCTTGCTGGATTTTGCTTGGCCGGAGAATGGCAGCGCAAAATGCAGAGAAAATGTGGAGAAGTGTGGGTTTCAAAGGCTGTCTGTGTTTCTTTTCTCATATTGTTTTGGGAAGTGCAAATCAGGAAGCTTTGAAATGTGAGCTGGGGGGGGGGAATTATTCTCCACCTCCCAACCCTAAGAGGGAAATAGTACCATGTAAGAGGGGAGGCTATAAGACCGTTAAGACAAGAGTCTTATAATGATCTGAGTTTGGCACTGAACCCACATTGAGAAACCAGGCAGAGGCCAGGCTGCCAATTTCACTTTTGCCACAGAAGTTTAAATAAATAAATATGGTCTCCAGAAGTTTTGACTGTTGTACTGGAGGGAGGGGGCGAGATCCCTAGATTCTTCAAACTCTTTGGGGACCCTATATGTCTCCTCCGTATCACACCCTTAGGGGCACTTACATCATTTTGAAGGTGAGATGTTTGCTGTGGTTTATCGTACCCCAGGTACCGTCTAACTCCTTTATATACAATAATGCTATCTCCTTTGATTTATATTGTGTATCTTTGGCAGCACTACTTGCCTTCCCTCTCCCCCTCCTCAGTACAGGCATGCACTGAACTGAAGGCCATGGGGAATTCCTCGATAATAACTTCCAAATTTATTTCCAGGCCCTCGCAACGAGCCGGCAACACTTCGCCATTTGTTACTGCGTCAGAGTCTTGGTGGCAGAATTTGGTTTTCAACATCTGTCTTTTAGATTAGAGAAAAGGTATTGAAAATGATTTAGGTCCTTCCGCATCCAGTGCCAACGCTCCTCCAGATCTGTCATATTTTCCCCTCTTTAGTGCCCTCATATAGGCACAGAGAGACTCTGAAGGCCCCTTCGTTAAAGCACACCATCAAAGAAGATCTTGGAAAGCCAATTCAAGCATTCTGATTTCTTTTAAAAAAGGGGGGGTTGCCAAGTTCTGACAGATCTGCCCCACCTTGCAGAAGTAGTTATACTTTGCAGGTGCAATTCTGTTTTTCCTTTCCTACAGTTCAGGTGGATTCGAGGTCTTTGCTCTGACCACAGCATTGCCAGGACATGTTAGAATCACAGAGCTGAAGCGTTGGAAGGGACCACGAGGGCCATTTGGTCCAACACCCTACAATGCAAGAATCTTTTGCCCAACATGGGGCTCGAACCCACGACCCTAAGATCGAGAGTCTCACACTCTACCAACTGAGCTATCCACAGGGCAGCATTAGACCAAGGTTAGATGAAAAGATGGACTTTGTCATTAGATGCATGGCTTGGGCCTCTTTAACACGGGGGACAACTAACATCCCTCCTCCGAACGACCTCAGTGGTCGAGTTGAGATTTAATGGCTTGCGTGATCCTAAAGGTATTCTGGATCCAAGTTGTTTGGGGCTTTAGACCTGGCTTGATAGCTTATGGGCAGCTGGTGCAAATGTTCTAGCAGAGGGGTCACATGCTGTCAACCACCTGCTCCCTTTCAGCAGTGCATTCTGTACTCCCTAGAGGGCAGCCACACAGAGAGTGCCTTGTCCCCCCCACTCCCTTTTTATTTTCACAACAACCCTGCGAGGTAGAGTTGGAAGGGACCACGAGGGTCATCTTGTCCAACTCCCTGCAATGCAGGCATTTTATTTATTTACTTTTTGACCCAGTGTGGAACTTGAACCCATGACTGAGATTAAGAGTCTCATGCTCTACCGACTGAGCTGAGTTAATGCAGGTACATAAGCAACAGTTCTTGCCAAACAGATTGCAGTGATGTGTATTTGCACAGGGGTATGGATGCCAGGTCAGAGAATCCCAGACCCTGATATTTCAGGGCCCAAACCTGAGACCTAGGAGTGGCCCTTTGTGATGTTATGGGGGCAGGTCCTGGAGACGGAGGTTATTTGGGAGAAGAGAGCGGAGGAGGGTGTTGGGATGTTTCCAAGGGAATGGGGGCAATTTGCAGGCCCCCAGTTGGCTCCAGCCCACCGGCCGGCAGCCAAGCAAAATCCGGTCCTTAGAACAGCATCAAAACAGTAGCACACAGCTTCAGAAGCCTTCAGAAGCTTGAGCACGCCTTAATCAGCAGAGTGAATAACACGCAACAGCAGTGGCAGACAGAGGCATATGTAAAGCATATTTACAAGCAGTTTATTCAGCATAGTTCAGGACAAAGAGAACATGTCTGCTCTCTTTCATGTCCAAGAGCAGGAAGCAATAAGCAAAAGCTATACACAACAGAGAGACGCAGGTGGTGCTGTGGGTTAAACCACAGAGCCTAGGACTTGCCCATCAGAAGGTCGGTGGTTCGAATCCCCGTGACAGGGTGAGCTCCCGTTGCTCGGTCCCTGTTCCTGCCAACCTAGCAGTTCGAAAGCACGTCAAAGTGCAAGTAGATAAATAGGTACCACTCCGGTGGGAAGGTAAATGGCCTTTCCGTGTGCTGCTCTGGTTCGCCAGAAGCGGCTTAGTCATGCTGGCCACATGACCCAGAAGCTGTACACCGGCTCCCTCGGCCAATAAAGAGAGATGAGCGCTGCAACCCCAGAGTCGGCCACGACTGGACCTGATGGTCAGGGGTCCCTTTACCTTTATACACAACGGAAGTTCCCAGCAGGCTGTGCTGGAAGTAAAAAGACTTGTGACATACAACAACTCCACATGCCTGTTCTTAAGGTGGAATGGAACATCCATATCCTAACAGAGGGAAGCCTCCCCACCCTCCGAAGTGGGTATGCTACTATTTGCACCCAGCTTGTGCTGGGACGAATCTTGCAAGCTGCGTGCACAGTCTCTCTCTCTCTCTCTCTCTCTATATATATATATATATAGAACAGAACAGAATAGAATAGGATGGAAGGGACCCAAAGGGTCTTCTATTCCAAACCTCTCCAATGCAGGAAACTCAGCTAAAGCATATAGACCCACCTGGAAATTCAAGCCATCCACCTGCCACCCAGAGAAGGCCAAACCTGGAGAATTCAGGTCACACCTTGAGGTCTGGCAACCCTTTGCAGGAGGCCCGATCCACATTCATTGCACCAGGCCCCGGAAATCCTGTCGTCACCCCTGCATGAAGTTAATAGCCCTCTCTCATCTTCCTGCTTGTCAGCTCTGATTTAATTGGCTGGCCCAAAGTACAGTGAATGTGCTCTTAAGACATCGCTTGTGACGACGGTTAGGGCCATTCCTGCTTCCTACCTTGTCTAAATGTTAGGAATGTTCTCATCACTGCCATCTGAAAGCACGCCAAGTTTGCCTGGGGACTTGCAGAGGAGCTGACAGAAAATGAATGCGCAGCCAATTATTCAGACAGCCTTTAATTTGATAAGAGGTATTCTTTAAAAAAAACCACAAAAACAAAAATCTCCTGTTCTACAAAGCTGGCTTCTTATGGGCTGCCAAGATTACCTTCCTTGTACTCTATAATTTACTGGTCTTGTATGTAGTTCTCAAGAGCCAAGTAAGGAGGAGGGTGCCAGCCAGTGTGAGAAGCGAAACAATGGGGGCCACTGGGAATGTGACTGTAGGGTAGGAAAGGCATCCCAGAGAGCTGTCAGTAATAAAAGCCTAGGAGTGCCTGAAAACCAAAATATGTCTGCAGAAAATATAGGCTGCCAGATGAACATACAGCCCCGTATTTTTCACAGGTAAATGCGGAGCACCAAGTGCCACTTCCTGATCTATCATTTTTAATCACCCCTGTTTTTACAATATAAAGAAGTGTGTGTGTCGGTTCGTAGTCCATGCTTCTGTGGGGTGGCAAGGGCACATACATACCCTGCAACAATCCCCAGGTGAAATCGTGGACATTTTGCACGCCCCATGCAACTGGAAGGCCCATAATTCGTCTGTTCTCCCACCCACCACAGAGCATTTCCTCTCAGAAGAAGGGCAAGTGCCACCCCCACTTCACCCATAAAAGCACAGCACACACAGTCCTGAGAAAACCCCTTAATCCCAATTTTATTTATTTCATTCTTTGGTGGATTTGCAAAAAATAAAAAGACACACCAGTTTTAAAAAGGGTCAAGATTAGGCGTGGATGCACAAAGCATTAAAAATAATAATAATTAAGACTCCTTGTGCCCTGCTCCACTCCCCATTTTTCCCCACCCATGGCAGCCCTGGCTTCCTTCTGCCCCTCAGAGCCAGCACATCACACAGACCTGGGCTTCAACTGCTCTCCAGCAGGCACTACGAGTCACCCAAGAGAGAAGGCTGGTAGCAGCGGCTGTGGAGAGGCCATGCAGAGGCAACAAGATGCTCCCTCTCAGCTGCCACATTTACCGCTATCATATCTCCTCCCAGCCTCCTCTTTTCCATGCTAAGCATACCCAGCTCCTTCAACCATTCCTCATAAGGGGTGGTTTCTGGATTCTTGGTCACCCTCCTCTGCTCTCGCTATCCCTATGTGAAGGGTATCCCGTTAAAGGAATCCAGGGACGCGATGGTCTGGTCAACCCCACGGGGTTGTGCCCGTGCCTGAGTCCAGGGGGACATTTGGGTAGCGGAGATAGCCCGTTCCCGGCTTTCCGCTTATCCAGGTGTTCACCCTTGGCTGACCTATGCTGGAACCCTGGGTCAGCGCTACCTGCATGGCAGGGAGCTAGTCGAAGCAGAGCCTATGCAACCAGTCACTTGCTCTAATCAATAAAGTTGTGGCCTAAATCTTGCCAAAAACCAAACCAAAATTTGAGCCTTGTCTAAATTTATTTCAGGGGGAGGTTTAAAGGTCTGAATATGCAAAAGTTGAGCCTGCTGAACAGATTATTGGGCTGGAGTATTGTTTACGGGGGGTTGAGAGAGCTGTTGCTGTTATATTTAGTTTTAGATCTTATGATTTAAGTGGAAATTGTTTCCATTTGGTTGTGTACTTTTTTGATGTGATTTATTTATTGTTTATGACTTCTATTATGTCTATAATTATTCAAATCTTGTCATGTTGTAAGCTGCCTTGAGCATAGTTTCAACTTTGGAAAGGCGCCATACAAGTAAGATGATGATGATGACGACGACAAGGGTCATTCAGTCCAACCCCTGCGATGCAGGAATCTCAGCTAAAGCATCCATGACAAACAGCCATCCAACCTTTCTGGTTGGCAATACACAACCACCCTATTTTTATTTCTGCCTAGTAATCGGGACAACTCGCCTTTGCGTCTGTGCCGCATTCCTTTGCCTGTGGGACAAACCGTAACAGTTTTTATATGGTGCAAGAGAGTCAGTGAGACCTGGGTGTCTCTGTACATTTTCCATTTTTAAGAACAAACAAGAGATTTAGCCATCGGGTTTCTTTTTGTTTCAAAATGTATTAGTCCGGATTGGGAATCATTATTATTTTGGTTCCTGCTAAGGGGCTACCCCCACCTCCTGAATCAGCTTAATCAAAATGTGATTATTGTGTCGAGGCCAAAAAAAACCCAAAAAACAGAGAATGACTTACTACTGCTGCTTGTTTCACTGTAGATGAAACATGAAAATAATATATTCCAGCTGTTAATGGCTGCACAGGAATTGACATCTTCCCTTAAAGGTATTTTTGGCCCATCTCCTGATGCAAGGAAAAATCGTTTTAATACATGGTTGCTTTGCTGAAGGCTCACCCCCACCCCACCCCACAAAATAGTATTCGCATAGAAATGCATTAAAGATGCAGTTGCTTTTGCATGCCTGTCTATCAATCTGCCTATTTATCTTGCCTTTCCAAAAGAGATTTGTGAGGGAACACAGGGGAGATCAGCCGGGGCTCAGCTACATTCCGGAATATATTTTCTATGCGTGGGGAAAGAGGTGATAACTCAAAGGGAAGGAGAACGGCGATCAAAAGCAGCACAGCGTACAGCTCGATGCAAAACAATCTTGGTTTGTTTTGCAGGGGTGGTGGATGCAAATCTATGGTGCGGCCCCACATTTGGAATACTGTGTACAGTTCCAGCCGCCTCGTGAGAGCCAGTGTGGTGTAGTGGTTAAGAGCGGTAGATTCGTAATCTGGTGAACCGGGTTCGATTCCCCACTCCTCCACATGCAGCTGCTGGGTGACCTTGGGCCAGTCACACTTCTCTGAAGTCTCTCAGCCCCACTCACCTCACAGAGTGTTTGTTGTGGGGGAGGAAGGGAAAGGAGAATGTTAGCCGCTTTGAGACTCCTTCGGGTAGTGATAAAGCGGGATATCAAATCCAAACTCTTCTTCTTCTTCGTGTCAAAACAGACGTTGTAAGGTTGGTAAAGGTTTAGAAAAGAGCAAGTGAAATGATTGAGGGGATCGAGCCCTCCCCCGTGAGGGAAGGTTGCAGCATTTGGGACTTTTGCATTGAGAGAAACTATTAAGTAAGAGATGACATGATGGAAGTGTGACTATCACTTGATGACTGAAGGCCCTGCAGCTATCACATGATGGCTCAATACTGGAGCAGCAATCTGCCAGTCCCCACTCCCGTCCCATCCCCACAGTCTACCTCAGTTGCAATGTGTGGCAGGACTGAGGATGCAGTGGTAGTCCTGTCATGGCATAAAACCCCACTAGACTCAGGCAGAGGGAAGTTTGGATGGTTCCCTGAGTGTACTAGATTTTGTTAGGCACTTTCGAGGCTGAAGTTTTCCTTTTTAAAAAAAAAAAAGCCCAAAGCATAGTTACAAATCTTCCGCCGACTGAAAAAGTATCGCATTCTGATGTGTTGCAATATAGCCCAATAATTCATCCTGCTTTATTCATTTCCTGTGATTAAGTCAAAAATAGACGTCTCCCATGCCAGCTGTTCATATACTTGTGGGCAAAAGATGTCCTGCCGTTTTTAATAGTATACTTAATTTCTGTATGGTTGCTGTATCGATTCCTTGCAGAGTAATTAAAGTACCTCATGCTTCATCTGCTGGAATAATTAGAGGTCTTTGTTGTTATCAGTGCAATTCTTTCACCACTTGCCTCTTCTAATTGCTGTGGGTCACCTGGCTAAGTTGGGGGTCACTGGAGCATAGCATGAATGTTAGAACTGAAAAACATAAAACGATCCCTGCTGAATCGCATAAGTTGTGGGTCTACTGAAAATGTAGGAAATGTTGGGTGCACTCAGACCACAACACCCTGATTGTGAGAAAGGTTTGAACATCAAAGAAGGGCACCTTCTGCAAGTGGGTTCTGCCATTCAAAAGTCGATCCAGCCTGCCCAGACTTATCCCCTATACAGTGGTACCTTGGGTTGCATATGCTTCAGGTTACAGACTCCGCTAACCCAGAAATAGTACCTTAGGTTAAGAACCTTGCTTCAGGATGAGAACAGAAATCGCACTCCGGCAGTGCGGCGGCAGCATTAGCTAAAGTGGTGCTTCAGCTTAAGAACAGTTTCAGGTTAAGAACGGACATCCGGAACGAATTAAGTACTTAACCCGAGGTACCACTGTATCCTGTTCATATCCTGGCTGGCCCCTGGCATTGCAAATAAAATAAAACCCAACATCCAGAGAGGGTCAAAATTATGTGTCTCTCAGTCATATTCCTCCCAAGCCTTGCACTGAATATTCTTTTTCCTTGGGCAAAGCAGTGATGTAACACTATCTGCATGAATGAAGACCCCAAGGATGAAGTTCTCTCGGTATTACGTAACCATAAGCAGCCCTCAGAAACTCCGCTTTCAAAGGGTGTTTAGGCATGGCTGAAAATAATGGCATGTGCAGACAACAGCTGAGGGCAAACACTCAGAGGGAATTAAGTCTTCAAGATCATCACAATGGCAGAGTGTGCTCTCATTATACAACTTGCGGAATGCTGTATCAATTGTGTGCTTTATCTTTTACTTTAAGCTGCTTTGGGACTTAAAAACAGGGTATGAATTCCTTAAATCGAGCAATGATCAAAGAAGCATTCTGAAATTCCTGAAGTTTACATTGAGCTCTCCAAAGATGATGAGCCAAAAATAACAATGCCATTCTGGTGGGCGGCAAGGATGAACTATTTTAGACAGCAGGCGATAGGTTGATTGGTTTGACTGCCTACCTCCCAAAATATAGCACTCCTGACTCCTACAACCCCAGCATGTCAGTGAGAAGGCAAGCTGAGAAGTTTTGAGCAGACATGCTAGCTTTGCATGTACAGTATGTAGGAAGTATTCTAAATCATAGAATTGTAGAGTTGTCTAGTCCAACCCCCTGCAATGTAGGAATCTTTTGCCCAATGTGGGACTCGAAGCCACAACCGTGAGAGTAAGAGTCTCAAGCTCTACCAACTGAGATCCTCCTCTTTCAGACTGAAGTAGTCCATCCCTACAATAGATAAATCAGGACGAGGCTTTTGTTGTTCATTTTAGTTCTTCCATGCCATATTTGGGCTATGCCAATGCAAGCACAGGTATGCTTTATATCGTACTGAGTGCAGCTTCCAATGTATCTGGACCAGGGCTGGGCAATATCTGGTTTTCAACGTCGTGACATATCACCAGCTAAACATTGTGATATATCAATATATCACAATGCCTGAAATAAGGATGTAACTATGTGGAGGCGAACAGCAGGGCTGGGTGATATCTGCTTTTCATGTCGTGATATATCAACAACAACCACCACCACAACAATTTATTATTTATACCCTGCCCATCTGGCTGGGTTTCCCCAGCCACTCTGGGCAGCTCCCAACAAAATATAAAAACACGATGAAAGATCAAACATCAAAAACTTCCATGATTCAAACATCAAAAACACACCATGATTCACGATTCAGGTCAAAAATTATGAAACCCATATCACAATATGGACTTCAAACCAATTTTGGATGATATAGCGCTATATAGGGCCTTCTGGCGGTTCCCTCATTGCAAGAAGCAAAGCTACAGGGAACCAGGCAGAGGGCCTTCTCAGTAGTGGCGCCCACCCTGTCGAGCGCCCTCCCATCAGTTGTCAAAGAGATAAACAACTACCTAACATTTAGAAGACATCTGAAGGCAACCCTGTTCAGGGAAGTTTTTAATGTGTGACATTCTAATGTATTTTTAATCTTTGTTGGAAGCCACCCAGAGTGGCTGGGGAAACCCAGCCAGATGGGCGGGGTACAAATAATAAATTATTATTATTATTATTATTATTATTATTATTATTATATAGCCCAACCCTAATCTGGACTTTGTCCGCATGACTCATGTGTTTGCTCCTTAATGCCAGCTTTGCTCTGATGCTACAGCAACAGAAGAAGCTACCTTAAATTCAGCCACACCATTTTTACCTCTTGCTCAGCGTTGTCTACACTGACGGACAGATGCTTTCCAGGATTTCTGGCGCAGAGCCTCTCCCAACCCTACCTGGAGATGCTGGGGGTTGACTAGGGACCTTCTGCTTGCAAGGCAGATGTCCTGCCACTGACCTATTCTCCAGACAAGGTTCGCTTCAAGCAAGCCCCAGAAATAATGATCACCCATGCTATGCCTGTCTGACCTGCTGCGCCCTTCCCTCCGTTTCATCTCATTTCTATAACAATAATGATCCGGCTTCTCTCCTGAGGTAATTAGGCCATCCTAGTTAGTGGTCAGCGTTTTCTGCTCAATAGAGCTCCAAGGCTGCAGAACAAAGAGCCATCCGTCAAAACTCAGAGACGCCCGTCCTCAGGTGGCGTGGGGAAGCTGAGCTCGAATTATCCACGTGCGTTTAAAAGTGCACTCAGGCGGTGCCACGGAACTTCCAGCAAAGGCGCCACTAATGATCTGGTTCCATTAACAAATGCTCATTTGGGTGGTTAGTGACCTGAGACAAAGAGGAAATGCAATTTTGGCTGCCAATACCATAAAAAAGATGGCCGCGATTACCGCCATATAGGGGTTATAATCAATGATACTTTTTATTGGCTCAATTCAGCTGCACTGTAGCCAATTAAAGCTGTGTTTTGATGACACAGGGTAAAATAAAAGAGTTTAGTATCTTCCGCAGCGCTTTCCCCAATTACCTTAATTTCAGCAAGTCTTAACATTCTTCCTTAATGTCAGCAAGTCAACTCGATCACCAGACAAATGGACCTTATTTGCAATTTCCCGTACCTGACCTTTGGATCATTAAACCCAGGTACTTTGAATGTGGTGGGGGTTTTTTCCCTTTTTTAGTAAAGCACTTGCTTTCGAGAGAGAAAATAAGTTTTTCTCTTTGTCACGGTAGGATTCTGAGCATTGCCTGATGCCTCATGAGCAGTGTTTTAGATTTTTATATCTAAGCCAGGCAAGCTGGCTGATGGAAGAAGCTTAAACGCAGACTATTCTGAAATGTTAACACATATTTGTGTTCCCTCCTGTTTTATTTCCTCTGCAATATTTCTCTTTCTCTCTCTCTCTCTCTCTTCCCCAAAGTGACTCAATGAGCAACCCAGATCTCCCAGGGCAACACTCTAACCATTACACCACATTGATTCCTATCCTCTGTGAAGGTGTCAAATGAGGAAAATCAGTGTAAAAATTTTTAGATCACCTCTTAGTGGTGCAGCAATAAAGTTGCTAGCATATTTGCAAAGCTAAGCAGGATCTGGTATGGTTTCAAATTGGATGGGTACCCTTGGGGTTCCTTCCAACCCTACAAAGCTATGATTTGCGGAAGGTCTTCTGGGCCAAGTATTTCTTTCTCTTTCTAATAATAACAATAATAATAATAATAATAATACCAGATTGTTTGATGGGAACGATGCTATGTCCCAGCTGCAGGGAACCAAGTTACTTCTTCAGCAGTGTCAAGGCTTTTTAAAAAAAGCTAAGGGAAAACACCCAGTCACCTTGCCCCCTTTTAATAATAATAATAATAATAATAATAATAATAATAATAATAATATATTATTTATACCCCGCCCATCTGGCTGGGTTTCCCAGCCACCCTGGGCAGCTCCCAACAAAACACTAAAATACAATAACCTATTAAACATTAAAAGCTTCCCTAAACAGGGCTGCCTTCAGATGTCTTCTAAAGGTTTGGTAGTTAATCTGGTGGGAGGACATTCCACAGGGCGGGTGCCACTACCGAGAAGGCCCTCTGCCTGGTTCCCTGTAACTTGGCTTCTCGCAGCGAGGGAACTACCAGAAGGCCCTTGGCGCTGGACCTCAGTGTACAGGCAGAACGATGGAGGTGGAGACGCTCCTTCGGGTATACTGGACTGAGGCCGTTTAGGACTTTATGTCCTCACAACAACCGTATGAGGCGGGTTATGCTGCAAAGGAGTGACCAGCCACCAATTTGGTTTCACCACCATCATTGTGCTACCCTTCATATCTTCATGGTCATTCCCCCTTCATCCTGCACCTTAGCTTAGCACCGCATTGAATGCAACCCATTGAATTCTGTGGAGCCGACACAGGGTTAGGGTTGCAACTTGGCTCCCACTGAACTTAAATCTGGTTGGTTTCAATGGGAACAAAGTTCAGCTAATGGGAATCTGGGCCCAACCCACCGTGCTGTTGACCAGGGTCCGTCTTACTTCCGGGACAGCGCCATCGGCAATGGCGGAGTTCCTCTGACAGAGAGGAACCCGCTCTGTGAAAATCGGGTCTTGCCGCCGCGGCGAAGGCGGAGACCCTTTAAAAATCCCAGGCGGAGGAAGCCTGGGAACGTTGGATTCGGCTGACACCAGGAGCACCTTCTCTACTCGCAGGGAACCCCTTTTCGGGGGTCCGAAGCGATGTGGGGTGAGCGGCGCAGTGTTTTGAATCAACCGCTACTTTTACAGAGTGAAGCCGCACAGCCGTTGCCGGAGAGCGCTGACCTTTTCCTGTGGACAATTGGACTCTAAACAAGTACCCGTGAGTAGAACGGAAAATTGGATCAAGTACTAAGAAATATTTTAATTTGGCACCGAAACGGGAAGGTTCTAAACAGGAAGTCCGCCTCCTGTTTTTTGTAAATAGATTGAAGCAAAAACTTTGTAAGCTAAAGTCTGGAAAGTCCTATATAAAGTTTTAAATTTCCTTCATTCATCACCACCAAAACCCCTCTTGGAAGCAGGAGAAAAGAGGGGGATTTTTGACTGTTTAAGCCTGCAGGAGAGAGAGTAAAGAAAGATAAACTTTCCACCGTCTCAAACCTGGGAACGGGGTCTCAGAGACAGAAATTTATGGGGAAAGTTCATCGATTGTGAACGGAACATCTTTTGACAGATAGTAAAAAAAAGAGAGAGAGAAATATATTGATTTCAATGTTGCTTCTTGCAATTAAAAGAAACAAAGTATTTGAAAAGTTAAAGTAACTTTTCCTTGTTGGTCCTGCTTTTAAAAGATGGATACAAATAGAAATTGTCTCCTCTAGAGGGAGCTTGTTAATTTGTTGCCGGAGCTGATCTGGGGACCTCACAGCTGTATGATTAGGATCGTGAGACCAGACTCTAACCTTGGGGGGGGGAAATGTGTTTACAAGAAGTCTTGGTGCTTGCTTTTTGCAAGACAAGTGCCTTGCTGGAGCAGATGCATGAGAAGATGGATTTGATGACTGTTGCAGTTAAAAACTTTGGACAAACGGCAAATACCCATACAGAAACTTTTCAGGAACCAGCCCAGGAATCTGTTTTGATAGGGCAAGCGCAAGGGCAGAAGAAAATGGAGGAGGTTGTTGTTGAACCTCAAATAACACAAATGGAGAGACCCGAGGCCTTGCAGGAGTATAAGCCGCTGTTCTTGAAGTTCGAATCTGGAGTGGACCAGGGGGGGTCTGGAGTTGGGAGGGCTCTTAATTTTGGAAAGACTTTGAAACATGCTTTTAAATACTTTCTGGATTACAGTGTTGACTGTGGGGAATGGGACTGTGGGGAATGGACTGATCTGCTGAGGAGAGATGGAGATACTTTTGGATTGGAGTCCTCCCGAGACCTACCCCCCAATGAGAAAGGGAAGAAAACAAGAAAAGATCAACAAAAGATAAAGTAAAGGGCAGGTATAAACAAGAAGAAGACCTGCAGAAGGGACATGGAAAAGATTTAAGAGCCTCGGACATAAGAGCACCAGGTTGATGGATTAGGTAGACGAAAAAGGACTGACAAAACCCGAGACCAGGAAGAAGAGACGATGGATGAAGATTGGAAGAAAGTTTAAAAATTTATTTAGAAAAGTATTGTAAAATTAATGAGTATTAGAAAAATGTTGGAATGAAATTATTTGGCTTTAGCAGAAATGTCAAAAGAATTATGAAAGAATATGTTATGGTTAAAAGAATTTGGTATATATAAGTTTTAAGTTTTAGGGTTTTTTAGGTAAGATAAGGTTAAAATAGATCAAGGTAATTTAAATGACAGAATATTGTGAAAGATGGAAAGGATTTGCTGAGATAATTAACAACTAGAATACAAAAAAGGGAGGTGTGAGGAGGTCGTTGAAATAAGTTAATGAAAGTTAAGGATTTGGGAATATTAGATTTGGGGGTTTTTTAATTGTTTGTTTATTTTTGTTTTTTGATTTAGATGTATTGTGTGTTTTGTTAATTTTTTTTTTACTTTGGTTTTTATTGACCTGTATTGTTTAATTGTTATGTCTATCTATTTCTTTCTCTCTTTTTCTCCCTCTCTTGTCTTTTCTTTCTTTCTTCTTTGTAACTTTAAAATTCTCAATAAACATCATTAAAAAAAAAAAAAAGACCAGGGTCCGTCTTTAAAAATCAATACAGTGTATTTCTGCAAAATCTGTAAAAACAAACCAGAGACACCAAAAAACTTTGGACGGATTCTGAGAAGGGTAATGTGACGCATTATTTAATTGGGATCTGCCATTATGGGATAAGAACGAGTTGCAGAGATAAATAGTCTTAGGGGAGGTGAGCTCTTAATTTGTTATTATATCTGTACTTCAAGTCCGATTTGGCAAATCTCCCCTAGAAAGACTAATGTTTGATGCAACCTGTCTGAGAAAATTAATGAGCAAACGCCCAGATTTTATTTCATCGGAACTGAGTGAAGATGGCGTCTGCCACCAGAGAAGGACTTTTGGGTTGATTCAGCATAAACACCAGCATGTGAGGACATTCTGCAAACAACAGACTTACCAGCTGCAAAAAAAAAAAAAAAGGAGAGTCATACATATTTCACACAGAAGCACATTATTGTTTATTTCAACTCGCCTGTGGAAACAACTCAGAGGCCACGAAAGAAGGAAGGATAACAACAGGAAGATTTAAAGAAGGAACTATTGGAAACTCAAGGCAGTAGAAACATAAGATGATTAGAACCCCACTGAACTTGAAGCATGGGAAGCCCCAACAAAAATTTATAATTTGGCAGAATATTTGGACTATATGATATGTATTTGTATAATTTGGAATACTTAATGTGATTTGATTGGATTGTTAAAATGGAAAATTTAATAAAAAATTATTTAAAAAACAAACAAAAACAAACCAGCACGGAAGCTGTTCGCTAGCACTGCAA